TCCCACGATGAGGTCATTGTGGCTTCTTCTTCTTCTTGTTTCTCATGTCTTCTTCAACCTCCGGCTCTCATTTGCAGCCTCAGATCCCATTAATCAATCTCTTCTCCAATGCTTAAGCCAATCAATCCCCGCCGACGAAGCTTCCTCCATCATTTACTCTAACTCCAACCCTTCCTATTCTTCCATTCTTCGTGCATACATTCGCAACGCCCGTTTCAACACATCGTCCACCCCGAAACCGCTCATCCTCATCACCCCATCGGAAGAATCCCACGTCTCCGCCGCCGTCACATGCGCCCAGAGGCTCGGTTTCCGTCTCAGAATCCGCAGCGGCGGTCACGACTTTGAAGGGCTTTCCTACGTCTCCGACGAGCCGTTTTTCGTCCTCGACATGTTCAATCTCCGTTCCGTAACACTAGACATGGCAGATGAATCAGCTTGGGTCGACGCCGGTGCGACGCTCGGTGAACTTTATTATAACATATGGAAGAACAGCAAAGTCCATGGCTTCCCGGCGGGTGTCTGTCCCACCGTCGGCATCGGCGGACATATAAGCGGCGCCGGGTACGGCACCTTGATTAGGAAGTACGGCCTGTCGGTGGATCACGTCGTGGACGCGAAATTGGTTGACGTCAACGGGAGAATACTTAACAGAAAAAACATGGGGGAGGATCTCTTTTGGGCGATAAGAGGCGGCGGAGCAGCCAGTTTTGGGGTGGTTTTATCCTATAAAATAAACCTCGTCCCCGTACCGGAGACTGTCACCGTTTTCAGAGTCGAAAGATTATTAGCCGAAAACGCCACCGATATAACACTCAAATGGCAATCGGTTGCTCCGACGACCGACGATAATCTGTTCTTGAGAATGCTCGTACAACCGGTGACTAGAAACAAGAAAAAAACTGTGAGAATCACTGTAATCGCTTTTTATCTGGGGGATTCCGATTCTCTGGTGAGCCTTTTAAACAACGATTTCCCAGAGTTGGGTATTGCAAAAGAGAATTGTAACGAAACGAGTTGGATCGACTCAGTCCTCTGGTGGGCAAATTTTGATTTGGGGACTCAGCCAAAAACTTTACTCGACAGGGATCTAAACGATGCCAATTTCTTGAAGAGAAAATCAGATTATGTGCAGACGCCAATTCCCAGAAATGGGTTGGAATCATTATGGGAGAAATTGATGGAATTAGGCAAAGTCGGGTTAGTTTTCAATCCTTATGGTGGTCAAATGAACCGAATCAAATCAGACGAGTCGCCATTTCCACATCGAGCTGGTAACTTGTTCAAGATTCAGTACTCCGTTAACTGGGAACAACCTGGGGACGAAGAGGACAAGAACTTCACGACACAAGCAAAGATTCTGCATGAATTTATGACACCATTTGTGTCGAGGAATCCGAGGAGTGCTTATTTGAATTACAGGGACATTGAAGTGGGAAGGACAAAGAAGTGGAGCTACGAGGAAGGGAAAGTGTATGGTGAGAGTTATTTTAATGGGAATTATGAGAGACTTGTTGATGTCAAAACTGCTGTTGATCCAAACAATTTCTTTAGGAATGAACAGAGTATACCTCCTCGATCGCGTTAGATTTACAACATTCTTCCTTTTTTAGTTATCGGTTGTTTTCTAGTTTTGTTAACGCAGTAACACTCGCTCTTTCCTCTTTTGTCAATATTAATTCGAAATAACTAATTTTAAAATATTTAAATTCGACTAAAATCTCAAAATGATATGTGTTTATAATTATTTGAATGAGATAGATGGTTCAAGTGGTAAACAATTTCATATTGTTTAAGTATACTTCGAATTATACAAAAAATTTCTATTAAAAAACTCGTTCACTAAAACTAAATGTACAATACGAGTCTTATATGGACCTAATCAGGAGACTTTAACCTAATATTTAAAATTTTAGATAATTAAGAACATGAATTTGACTGAATGAACCTATTCAGATTGAACAAAATCTCAATTCTAAAATTGAAAACTCTTAATCACCTCGAGTTATAATGATTCAAGTTTACAATGACTTGAATAAATATGGAATGAACTAATGAAATGACAGGAATGTATAGTAATTTAAGCTCATAATAACCTGACTTGAAAACTTAAATGACCCGGACCTAAAAAAAATAAATAAAAAGTTATATTAAACTTGAAATGATTTGAATTTATAATTAATCAAAATTAAAATAAATTCAATCTAAATTGATCCTGTCAAAATTTCGAACTCTAACTATTAGCAAAGCTCTTAGAGTCGTGTGGAGATGAGGCATTGACATTGAGGGTGCGTTTGGTTCACGGAATGTAAGATTACCAGTGAGAATAAAAGATTACCAGGGAATAGGATTACTGGGAATGTTGTATTTTGTGTTTGGTTGGTTTAGCAGGAATGTAAGATTACCGTGTTTGGTTAAAGGAATAAAAAATTATTGGAATGTATATTTGACCAAATTGTCCTTATTATATATTTGTATAATATTACAAATTGTAAAATATTTATATATTTTCTTTAAAAAATTAAATTCATAATATTTATATAATTTTTTTACAAAATTAAAAATATAAAAAAGGTTTAATGAAATGGTAAAAAAAAAATTTAACCCCTGAACTTTATATAAAATTTTAATTATAGATTTTTTTTTAAAATCTAAAATAATTTAAGTATAAATTTGTAATTTAACCTTCGTAGAATTTTTATTATTCAATGACAGAAGAAGGATATTTTTGAAAAAAAATAAAATTTTAAGGGCATTTTAGTCCAAAACGCTGGTAATGTTACAATACCTAAGGGAAGGGAGGTAATGACATTCCCGGTAATATACCCCAAAAACTTTACTATTGGTAATAAAACATTACCGAGAATGAGATTCCCGGTCAACCAAATATGAGAATGTGGGATTCCCATCCCATGGGAATCCCACAATCCTTAAACCAAACACCCCGAGGGTAAAAGCACATGCTAAAGTAGCCTTTGCTTTTGGACATTTAGAATGTAGGCCATGGCTGGTAGTCAGAAACAGTGAAGAAGCTTCATACGTGGGATGGAAAGTGACAACCTAAGATCATGAGACCATACCATTGACTATTACAAAAGTTTGAGTCTTCTCTCTTCTTTTATGCTTTGGGTTTGTGGGACTAAATCAGCAACGTCATCGTCTTCTTCTGTTTCCCACCGTTGCTTCTTTGGCTTCTCATTATTACACGTGATGGTCATAGCTTGATTAGAATTGGATTTTTTTGTATCTGAATTCGATTCAAAATTTAAACTCCATTTGTATTCAATCTAATTCATATTTAAAAGGATTCTATTCGATTTAAAACCCAACTTGATTTTTTAGATTAAAATTTGTACTTGTACCCGGTCCAACCCAACCTAAATAAATGAATAAAAAATTATTTTTTATTAAGTAAAATAAGAAGCGAAAAAATATTAAAAATATATGTATTATTATAATTATTCCTAAATAATTAAGGGATAATTATAATATTATCTCAGGTTGGATCGGAATTTTTTTTCCATAAACTCGAATCCGATCCAACCTAGCTTAACACTTAAAAAAATAATAACACAATCCGAAACCAATTTTTTTTTAAAAAAATGATTTGATTGAATCGAAACTCATCCAATTTTACTCAAATATTCAACTTAAATTGAAATTAATGGTAATGTCTTCTATCCTTCATTCAAAAGCCATAATAGGAAGGCCCAAAAATCGAATGCCTAAATTTATGGAAATTAAGCTTACATTTTAACCTTTCAACTTTCAATCTTAGGTTTTCTTTTTTTAATTTCTTACATGGTGTTTCAAGATCAATTCATCATTGTCCTTTTGTTTTTCTTGGACAAATGTTTTTCGATGCTTTTATAGTTCATGAATCTGTACAGAAAAATATAAAATATATTTTTCGCTTTAATTGTTGCATTACCACTCGTTCATTTCATATATCTGAAGCAAGATGAAGTAGTCTATTACATGTTCATTCTGTTCTAATGTCAATGACCTTACAGCAACAATGATGCTCTCATATATTGTTTTACATTGACAGAGGAAAATTATTATATTATCAATTTCTAAATTAGTTTGATATGAAATGCCACACCCCCATTTTTAAATTAAAAATTATAAAATTAATTGAGGGACTAAATTGCAAGTTTTTGAAGCTTGCAGCTCGGTTTTGAATCTGTAGGAAGTTCAAGGACTTAACCTTGAATTTTTTCTTTTTTGGTCGATAGAGAATAAAATAAAATATGAAAGTGTGGTTGACGGGTTTCAAACCCCTGTTAATCAGTATAGCCGGCTATCACCCTACCATTTAGGTTAGGTCATTGTTTATGATATTTTTAATTAAATCTATGTTTTAATTGCTTAAGGCTTGACTAACCCAAAGCCATCCCCCATTCCAGAATAAAAACACCCAAATTCCTAAACTTCTCAACCCCAAATCCCTGACATCATCGCCGACCCTCACCAATCCATCATCGCCCGATCGTCGTAGCCTACATCACTGCCAGCATTCGACTCATCACCGTCTGGTGACCAAAACCCCCTTGGATTCAAACCGAGCATCATCGTCGTTAATCGACGTTCGACCGATCATTGGAGAACCCCTGCAATCGTTGCTATTTCTTCATTTTTCGGTTGATTCCGTCGATGTTGTAGCATACCGCCACTTTTATTAGCTCCATCGGCGTCATACGAATAAAACTCAAGTGATCAACGTCTTCCGTCGTCACGCCGCCGCCGTCCACCAATGGGGGTAAGTTCCCTAATGTTTTTCGGTGATTTTGGCATGTTTTTGATGCGATTTTGGGCTTGATGTTAGTGGGATTAGGTTAATCATTGAATCGGGAGTGATCGGTCGTATAAACAACCTTCGTTGCTACAACACGTGCCACCATGCATTGACAGTGTATTTGAGGTTTATCAATCGATCTAGGAGACTTTTGGAACCAGTCTAGTTAGATCAAACCGGGTAAAGCTGAGCCAACTCGTTGAGTTAATTCGAATAGAGTTAACTCATTGACTTTGACTAGTCGTTGACTTGATCGTTGATCTGACCATGAACTTTGACCACTATTGCCTTCGACTTTGACCACTGTTGACTTTATGTTTGACCAAAAAGTAAAAATTTTCGAAAAGTCATATTTTATGTTTTTTTTGGCATTTTGAGTCCGAATCCGAATTTTATTTTGCCAAATTTGAACTTGAAAGTCTCTGAATTGATCATCAAACCCAAGCATGCATATGTATTTAAGTATTTTATTTAAGAATAATTAAATTAAGGTTAATGAATGATCTAAGATATTGTTATTTGAAGGTACACTATACTATCCCCGACCGTTCGACAGCTCGACCCAACTCTTCTCGATCCGTTCGACTTCCCGACCAAGTGATTACTTGTATGAATTAGGTTCGAGCACTGTTTTAGAGTGTGATGAGGCAGGTACTCAGTAGACTCACCGACTGATCCCCTTTTACTAGGTGTGTTTTCTATGTGTTATATGATTATTTTATCTATTTTGAAATATGATTTACCGAAATTATTGATTTACTAATCTTTTAACAGCTCGATGTTATAATTTACTGATTTACTGGTTGACTGTTTATGAACCATGGTTGTTTGATAAATGTTATCGAGTTACTTATTTTCACTGGAAGATATAATTATGTCGATTTATGGATTATTGAATTCATTTCTTAATGTGTGAACTGTTTTATTGAGATATTGTTTTGGGTAGGATATTAGAGTATGGAGCTTCAGCTCTGATCAAGCTAGTAATTCCTTACGAACCTAAGGCGACCCTTGGGTAGGCTTCGAGGCCCCCGAGAACTTTCTTGGTAGGCTCTAAGGCCCCAAGATACTCCCTTGTGTTGGCTCTTATACCCAATGGGTATAAGGTAATCCCTTACGGACACAGTTCTAGGGAACTTCATTTTGGTGTATGGGATGAGGGTATTAATGAGTTTTAATTTTCAAGCTTCACTATGACTTTTATGATACTTTACTGAACTACTTCTTGTTTATTTTACCCATTATGTTTTACTTGAACTATTAGAACACACTGAGCTTCGTAGCTCAGTTCATAAACTTTCCCCCCTTTTCAGATACTTTTGGATAGGCACCCCGGACCTGACAGTTGGAGGATCGACAAATTCGTACAATATATTTTGTTGTAATGTTTTTATCTTCCGAACTACCTTCATTTTCGGTAACATGTGCCTTTATTTTGAAATACTTGTTTTTACGACTTATATTATTTTTACTACTGATATTAGACTTATTGCGATACAGATTATGACATATTTTATTTTACTAGTTACTTAAGGTTTTATCTTCACTCGTTTGGATTTTATTGTTATTTAGTATGTTTTAAATATGTTATTTATAATATGAATTTAAAATATCGAAGAATGTTATGAAATTTTTTACTGTAATTCGTTAGATATGGTCGTAACGTATAGATCGGGTATATGTGGTTATATTTAGTTGGTATCAGAGCTTTTTGTTTTTAAATCCCAGACTATAAATGGGTTCTAAATAAATAAAAATGCTATTTTGAAAATGTTTTACATCTTTCTATGAGGCTATGTCACCTGTTTT